AAACTTTGGCAAAGATCCATGGTTGCAAGAGTTGGGGAGAGCAAAGAACAAACAGGCAGGGCACAGGTAACTTTGAGGGCTGTGAAATAAATCATCCTGTATGGTATTTCAATTGTGGACATATGTCAAAACCCCAAGGCAAGTACAACAATACCAAGAGGGGCCCTACTGTCAACTAGGGGTGACAGTTCTTAACATATGACATATCAGCATAGGTTCACTGACGGTGGGCAGTAACAGGGCAGGAGAATGGGTACACATGGTGGACTGGGGGGATTTTGGAAGTCTCTCAACTTTCTGTTCAATCTTGTTGTGAACTAAAAATGTAAACCGATATCTTAGTTGGCTTATAACACTTGGTCTAAATTCTATTATTAAGACAAAGAGCAATACAATTTTGTTTTTGCAATTGCAAAATAGTTAACTCATATACATTCTTTATTTTTGAGATAAATAACAAAGGAAGTGGCTTGCATATAGCTGGAAATGAAATTGCTAGGATTCAAGTAGATACAAGTGCCAAATGTGCTTTAGTTTAAAAGCAGACTAGAACTCGACAGCTAGGGGAAGTAAAGCTGCTATAGTGTGAATGTCTATTGCCACCCCAAGCCTTTTACTGAGGTCTTCTTCACCTTTAAGGTGATGATGCAAACATGTGGGGGCCTTTGGGCCCTCACTAAGTCACATCGGCAGAACTTCACCACCGAAAGACACAGCAAAAAGGAGTAGTGTATGAGCCAGGCATGGAACCTGCCTTAGCTGAGGATTTCCTGGTTCCCAGAACCATGAGAAATACATTTCTGTGTCTGTATACTACCCAGTTTATGACAGTTTGTTACAAGGACTAAGAACAATTATTTGGTCAAAGTCCCACATCATGTAAGTAAGGAAAATGAGGCTGTGGGTCACATGATGATTAAATGACAGAAACAAGGAACTCAGCGTCTGTTCATTTCCCACTGTACCCAGTCAATTCAGCACAACTGTTCTAAAATTCAGAGACATTAACTTTTTTCTTCCCTCACATGTTCACTTTTTTCTCAGAAGACATGACACCAATTAGAATATTTCTTCGGCTGATGAGCATTCACCAACCTTTGTATATTTACTCATTTATTTTGTGAATGCCCAGTATTCCCCAGAGGTCATCAAATTTTTTTGTTTGTTTTAAGAATTCTTAAACAGCCTAAGACAACATTTTACTGACAGTGAATATCAAATATAAAATGCATGTGTTTATTACTAAAGCCAACGCTATGCACACCACCCTATCATTGTTAGTGAGAAACTAGAATCTTGGCCGACCTCTCCCAGAGGTAAAAATCCACCCATGGTGGGAGCAGCTGTGACTGTGACGGAATCTACAAATAACATGCTGGGAATTCGGCAGGCACTGTTATTATATCCTGTTTACACTGTCATTTCTCCTATCAGCAGGATATTATTTATACAGACCCCACCCCTGCACTTCTTGTTTATCTTATTATAGAAGCCCTCCAAATCTATAAAAAGCAGTGTCTGCATTTGCTTCTGGAACAGGACATGTGTTGGAATTTTGCACCTTGCTACACTTTTTTATTTAGCATTTTCTGATGTTAGGTACCATCCGTTCTGATTTTTATCTTAAGGTTGACTTCACATATTAGAGTTGAACTCAAATGACTTTTGGAGAATCTGCTATAGAATGATATGTCTAGGTAATGGCCAGATTAGATTATTCCAGGGATGGGAATGCTTCCCAACCCAGGCTCACCCTGCCCTAAGTGGGTCAATCATAAGGGCTTCACTAACTCATTGTTCTTCCCAGACATCAGAAGTGCTGTTTCTGTTAGCTTCCTGGCTGGACAGGCTGGGGCACAAATGTGATTAATTCATAATTTCATGAGAAACACAACTCAGTGAGTTAGCCAATAGATGAATAATAAATTAGCCTGCTTATTAATTTCCTCATTTCGTAGATGAAAACAAAACAAAACAAACAAAAAACCCTGAAACTTTCCTACACACAAAACATACAGGATAGTTGAGCAAGCAATTATCGCCACAGCGAACCTTTTGACATGTGGTTTGAGCTAAACACAACCAGCTCCTCTAAGTCTCAATCTGCTCTACCAGGCAGTGAGGTGGGTGTGAAATGTTAAGTATTGAGACAGTGACAGACCCTCCGAAGAAAGGGCATCACTCAAGTGAGAATTAAACCTAAGGACAGTCACTGTGCCAATGCCAGTGCTAACAGAATGAGGTGTGGTTAGTAGGGATGGATAGAGATATGCTGAGGAGGTAAAGGCATCATTGTAAACCAAGAATTTGGGAGCATACAAATGAACAGGACTCTCAAAATGACAATCAGTTAAATTCAGCTGTGTGAATATACATAATAGAAGATAGCAATAAAAATGGATGTGAGGGTTGCATTATAAGAATTCCCTGGGCTGACAGGATGGCTGAGTGGATAAATGAGCTTGCTGCCAAGGCTTCTGACCCAAGTTCAATCCCTAGAACACACATGGTAGAAAGAAAAAGAAACTCTCACCCCAAAACATACACAGTGACACGTAAGCACGAACACCTGAGGAAAAAAAGTTGTTTTTTGTTTTGATTTTTTTTTTTTTTTAATTTTTTGTTTCAGACAATGAAGGGCCAAAGGTTGATTTACAGAAAGATAAACCCAATCCTTTGGAACAGAAACAAAGAGGAAAACCTCTTTGATGTGAAGCTGAGATGGGCAAGATATTTTAAACAAAATCCCATCATTACAGTGGTGAAAGGAAGGCCATGTGTACAACAGGTAACAAATATATATCTTGGCTTTTCCTTTACGAAATGGAAGATGATACTATTGAGTAAAGCCATGATAATCAATGCCTACTAACTGGCGTTACTGTTTGGAAAGTTTACCAGTTTCCTAGAACAGTCCTCAAATCTCAAATTACTCAGGGCATCTGACTGAAATGTAAATTCTACTTCAGCAGATTTTGAGGTGACACTGTATATTCCTCCTTCTCTAACAAGTTTTCAACTAACAGCAAAAACTGATGTTTCCTAGACTATATTTTGAATGGCAAGATGTAAAAGCATTTTCCAGTTTCCCTGTCTAAAATGGAAATATTTGATATACTGTATTTAACTCACTATGGTACAATGCTTTTAGATTTACCACCATGTCTGGCATAAGGAAGATCTTTAAAGGTATCTTTCTATGATTTGCAACAATGTTGGAGACCCATCCAAAGCTACTACTTTACAAGTACAAGACAGGGTTGGTTCAGAGAGCAAAAGAATTAGTCACAAAGCCTGATAAGGTGATTTTGATCCCAAGACTCACATGGTAGAAGGAGAGAACTGATTTCCTCAAGCTGTCTTCTGTCTTACATGCACGCACACTCTCATGCAACCAAGATGATGTAAGATTCAGTATATTCAATACTCAGAAATATTCTCTTCTGAACAAAATCAACCTTGCAATTCTATCATGCTACAAATTTGTCTGACCCCTTCTCCCGCTTGCAAACCAGAACATATACTGCTTATAGCCCTAAGGACTAAAGTAAAGGGACAAAAAGACAACATCCCATCATGGCATAATCTACCACATCGTGAGTTTCAGTAACACCTACATAACTTGCCCTCATAGTGTGTTAAACACTGTAACTTAGCTTTTTAAAGATAAAAATTAATAATTTATCTTATACACCCTACTAGCAAATACCTAAAGAATTAAATTCACACACCTTTCTTTACCATTAAGACTTCTACACAGAAGGATGGTTGTGTTTAAAAGTATCCAGAAACAAAGACATTCTTTATAAAAGTATATTACTAGTAAAATATATACACCTGCATGTATGTATTCATATCCTAAAGGGTTGGCTGACATTAGGTATTGGGAATGAAGTTTAATAATTTTAGCTCTGAAGTTACGCTTTAATCCAATTAATGAGCAGAAACCAGCATTCCCACCACAGAAGGAACATCAGTGCTGGAGGAACACAGATGCCAACCTATAACCACAAGGTATGAACCCTGAGAAGACCCAAGGCATACATTTGCAGCCGTGTGCAGAAAGGGGTGGTGGTGGTAATTACTGTAACTGTGTAACAACAAAACAGTGTAAATGTGCTGGTAGAACTTCTGGTTCCTCTAAGAACTTTAGAACTAAGGAAGAGCACACACCAACAGTGATGACACATCTACACCCAGATTCAAGAGTTGCATTTTTAAAACGTAATCTGGATAGAGAATGACACATATACACCACATGTCAGGGTGAGTTCTGGGTTGGGTGGAGAATGGGATGGGATATAAAGAACAACAGCAAAAAGACAATGGCGACTCTCGTCTTCTCAGGAGGGTGTGAGGAAAGCTTTCATGCACAGAAAAGGTCACTCAAAAGACACAACTTTCAGTAGGGGATGGTGGTGCATATATCCCAGCGCTTGTCAGGTAGCTGCAAGAGGATCAGGAGGTCAAGGTCATTATCAGTCACAGAGTGAGTTTGAGGCCAGCCTTAACTGCATTCCACCCTGTCTCAAGAAAAAACAAAACACAAACAAAACCAATGCTCCAACAACAACAAACCCCCAAAACAAAAAAGACTCCCACGACTAGCTTTTTCCTCAGGAGTTACTTTTTACTGGTAAAGTCCTAGATTTGATTTAGAGGATGGCAAAACTTTTAAAAATAAGAAACCGACAGCAGCTGATGTGGAGGTGCCACAGGCGCTATCATGATCAAAAGGAAGCAACATCCCTTTTCAATTATAAAACAGGGATTTGTTTTTCTTATTAGTAATGTTACAAAATTTACTAACATAAGTTAAAAAAAAAAAAAAAAAAAAAAAAAACACTGGAGCTCCCTGATCTCAGAGGCACTGGTTTAAATGCCAGTCACCACGCCAAGCCAACAGGGCTGCAGCACGGAAATGCAAGAGATATTCCAACACCTGCACAGATGGCAGAGACGAGACATGATTCTAGAATAAAGGGCTCTCCGGCTCTTACCTGTTACCTGTGCAACAACTGCTTGGGAAATCCTCCGATTGGCAAGAAAGGCTTTGATTTCCTCTTTTATCACACTGCTGTCCCTCCTAACAAAAACAGAAGACAAGACCAACAATGTATGTTGAAGGTAGAAATCCTCATCTTTGCTAAAAGAAAGGTGAAGCAGAGAGGTGGGGAGAACACAGAAAGGAAGGACACAAAAATAAAAGGGAAACAGACTAAACTTGGGTGAAAATATGAAATTACAACAAACCAAGAAACACCGAATACTCCAGTCCTGAAACGTCACACCACCAGACAGACACCTCAGTGAATGCCACTGTGGACACAAGTCTCATATGGAAGGACCATTCATTGCATGCTGTGTATAATTTAAATTAGGAACAAGGCTGCCACATACGGTACATATGGTCTCATTATTGGGGGAAAAATCGTACATAGAAGGCCTGGAAAAATAAAAAGCAACAGCAATGAAAATCAGCTGTAAGTAGATTGTGGGTTTGCAGGTTAATGGAGGAACTGTAGAAGTGACCGACACTCATCTTAAAACCTTGGAAATGCTTCAGGGGCAGAAATCAATACGATTCTCTCAACTGAAAATATTAGTATTGTAAGAAACACTCTTAGCTACTTCCTCTCCCTTCCTTCTGTATAAGCCCTTCCCACAAAGAATGTGGGATGGTTTGAAAAATTAACAGTTTCATATTATAAGTATTTATTACATATAATAAGTACACAGAATAGTTAATACTAAAAACTATATTATTCAACCTCGGTATTATATACTCTTGGTCCATTACAAACTTTACTTTATTTAAAAAGCACGTTTTCATAGATCAGACATCCTTAAGAATGACAAAGAACATTCACCAAAACAAATAATAAATAAAGGTTAAACTGGAGCTTAAAGACTATAAAACCAGAACACGATTTCTTATTCAAGATGAAAATTGACATAGAACCATGGTAGCTTATTATCTAGACAAGGTCAACAGATTAAGGGCCTCAGTTCGAGTCAATCTGCCATCTGCTCTCATATAAACCACAAACTAATATTCTTTCTCAGATGGACCTGTGCAAAAGAATTTAAAAAAAAAAAATCACCCTTTTATTTTTACAAATACTGCTTAGCCCCCACAAACTGCATACAATTATTACAATTCCATATCGATTTTTTCAAAATGTTTTGAGACAGGGACTCTATCTATCCTTCCTTTTTCCCTCCCTCCCTCCCTCCCTCCTTCTCTCCCTTATTTTCTTCCTTCCCACCTTCCCTCCCTTCCTTCTTTCCTAAGACAGGATTTCTCTGTATAGTCTAGGCTGTCCTGGAACTCACTCTGTAAACCAGGCTGGCTTTGAACTATCCTCCTGCCTCTGTCTCCTGAGCACTGGGATTAAATGTGTGTACCACTGCCTTAGTGGAACTCACTTGCTAGGCCAGCCTGAAGCTATTTAGTCCAGGTGGTGCTCAAACTCAAGGCAATCCTCCAATCTCAGTCTCTTGATGCTAAGAGAAAAGCTGCGGCCATCTCTCTCTCGCTCTCTTTCTGTCTCCCTCCTTTAAGTTTTCTGAGACAGTCTATTAGTCCATGCAGGCCTTGAGTTTACTGGTCACCTAGTCTCAGTATCCTAAATGTGGTCATTCCCGGCTTTCTCTCTTGTATAGAGTATCTATACTATAGCACAATTTTGCCTCTTGGCACAGTCTAAAATGTTCAGCACTAGTTATTTACAGTAAAACCTTTGACCCTTGATTTAAGACAAAGGCATCACAAACCTTTAAAAACTGTTTTGTGGACAAACCACAAATTTTATAGGGGCTCAAGTCTCACTGCAGATTGGAGAAGAAACAAAAGTATCCTATCCGAAGATGATACTAACCTGCAATTTAATTTAGACATGTCTTTCAGCCCCTTTACCAGGAAGGGATATGCACCCTGTTGGGGGTTGCCATATTCCCTGTGGAGCTGTGCATGTAGCCTGTGTACATGTGAGTATCCCTGTTTGTCTCTGAGCCCAGAGTCCACCAGTTTGCTTGACTGGCTGGCCAATGAGCTGCAGGGATCCTCTCAGGGTAAAGGCAAATGCCAGCATTGCCTGTCGTTTTTCTGGGTGCTAAAGACATTCCTGTGCTGCAGGCACAGCACTGTCTGGGGTGTGTCCCTGCTGTGGGGAATTTTAGAAAGAATAGATGGGACAGTGAGGATCCAATACTTAGTTCTATAATATCCCTGAGTTACTGACTGGAAATCCTAATCAAGTGATAAGGAGAAAATAAAAATTTAGCTGCCTAATGTAATATTTACAATTCTCTTACTTAAATTACAATCTACATGTTGAATATATTTCTCTCAAAATGCATGTCTCTATACCAATTATAAGCAAGAGACAACTTTAGCAATAGCTATTTCAGATGGCTTTTGTACACAAACCAAATCATTTGTCTTCTGACATAACTACAAAGTCAAGTTGAAATTGTATATAAGCTATTGCACTTCAACATACCAAATGATCTTGGAAAATGAAACTATATTTGAGTATAATTATTCAGATTAAATCTAAAAATGTTCCTTTGTAGGCAAAATGAGCAAATGGTATTTTTTTCTTGACTAATAATTTAAAATAAATTTAAACGAACTCATTTTCAATCAGATGTACCTAGAGCAGACACTAAATCATACAGAACAGATAACACCCAACTATGTCACCAGACTGTGAATTAATCAAAGCCTTGCAGTATAGCATTATTAAAGGACTGCAACAAGACAGGAGGAGTCTTCAATGTTTAGAAAATAGTAACCCAATCACCACCTACAAGAACATATTCTTATACATTATGTAGGTCTCTAAAGTATCCACAGTAAGTTTAAACACACATTCTTTACTGGTTTATTTGGCGGGGGGTTGGGGGAAGACTGAGGTGTGGCTAAAAGCCTAAATGCCTGGCCAGCATCCTAAGACCCACCCTGGTCTCTTTCTCTAGCCCCTCTACTCCTTAAAAGGTAAAAACATGCAAGGGAAAGGCACTTAATAAAGTTGTGCTTTGGTTTGACCATTTTTTAAACAAGAATATTAACACACTCCTTCCAAAGGTTTTCATTTCTATAGTTGGTGTGCATTACTTGTGCAAAATAATGGGTCTCACTATGGCATTTTTACAAATGTGTATAATGCACTTTGATCCAGTCATTTGTCTGCCATGATACTCCACACCCATCCTTCTCCACTCTTACTGGTCACCTCCCTCTACCCTTCTCAATTCCTCCTGGCCCTTTCCTTCACCCCTTCTCTACTCTTATTGGTTCCTTTCCTCTCCTCCATTCCTGTTGGTCCCTCTCTTACCCCCAAATTTCAAAGGGTTTTAAGAAGTCATGGATATAGCTTGTGGCAGTATGCTACCCCAGCATGTACAAGATCCTGTATAAGATCACTGACAAAAACAAAAACAAAAACAAAAAAGAAAAACCTTTAAAATGTTCCTCTAAGCAATGAAATAGAAAACTGAATGGCTGAATGATATAAACACATACACAAACATGCATATAATATATGCAAAAGACATTTCTTTGAAGTAGAAAGTTTTGAAATTATAAATGTATCATACAGGCATAAACTATTACTTCTATAAAATAGTTAGACAGGATCCAAAGAAAAGAAGAAACAAATGATCAGCTGTAGCTGTCAGACTGAAGTGAACATCTTAGACCAGGTACTTCAAAGCACCATGGACAAAGTACTCCCAGTCACTGAAGAAGAATGCCTGTTTGCTTGGGTTCACTAGGTATTCGCAAAACAGTAACACCATATGTCTTCACTATCCAGTTCATTCTACAGGTCTGGACTGGCCTTTTGTCTTCTTCACCCTCTCCTTTAACTGCATTCTACCTTGTGGAACCACCTATTTGCTAGTGTGAAATATCACTTACACAAATCTGACTCTCTTGTCTTCTATTCTACAGTATTTCCTCCCTTGGTTGAAAATTTGAGATTTTCCTGAAGAGAATGAGTCCCTTCTTCCACTCTACCACAATATCTTACATGCCTCAAGACTGTCCCCTTCTGAAGTTCTAATGAATTAAAACAAAAACCCAATATTTCTCTAGGTTCACTTTTAACTTCCAGCATAAGCAACCGCTTGATCTCAACTGAGGCACTTTAAGTGCATGCTGCTTTTTCCTGCTACTGTATTTATCTGGTAGACTTCCACAACAGGATGGAGCAGTCCCTTTCTAACCATCACTGTAAACAGCTTTTGTTTTTAAAACTAGTTAAACTCCACTACCATCCTTCTTGATGTATAAGAAATAATCCATCAAAAATGCCCGTTTGACAAATCACTTGTATGTATATGAGAAAAGGACTATGAGGCAGTGGTTTTGCCATTAACCCTGGATCACTTTGAATCTGAGCTTTTCCTGCCTCAGCCTCTGGAGTGCCAGGATATAAGTGGCACCATCACCCTGTCCTGATTCTAATGCTCCTTGCTTCTTGTTTTGTTTTGAGCATGGACGTGCTATGTAGCCAAGGCTGATTTTGAACTCACAGTAAGTCTCCTGCCTCCCAAGTATTTGGATTCCAGAGGAGTACCACCACACCTGGCTTTCTGATTACCTTTTAAAAAGACATGATGTAACTGTCATCTATCTAGAGAAGTTCTCTCTGATCACCATAGCTTACAAAAAAAAATCTATTTTAACAAAGCTAATTCTTAATATTTCAAGCATAGTATGGACACAATGCTCTATAGCCCATCTATCCTAATAGCCTAGAAAGTTCTTTCGCAAAAAATTCTGTCATATTCAGCATGGAGTTTTACAAATATAATACAAATTAATTTGTTTAATGAGTGATAAAATTATCGAGATTAAATACTGTAAAATGGAAAAATCTGATCTAAATTTCTATAACAGCTTTGAATTCTTATTTTCAAGTATGTTTATGTTTTCCAAATCAGGATGGAGAGGTTATTTATGGTGACTCAAAATGACACTGATTTGTTTTCTGGAAGAAAGCATATTAAAGGGCTCATATTTTAAAATGACATGCTTTAAGATGACTCATACTCCCTGAGTTAACACACCCTCAACATTCTTCTGGATGTTGTAAAGGGAGCTATGTCAAAGTCACCCCAAGACGAAGCAAACACAGTGTATTTCACAGCTGAAAGACACTCATGACTTTCTCCCTGTGCAGATACAAAGGACAATTTTAAGAGAGGACATTAAAGGGAGAGCTGTTCTGTATGCAGATGGAGGGAGAGTGCACACCACATAGTGGGTTATATTCTTACAGAGCACGAACATCCTGCCTCACAAGTAAATGCAGGCTGAAGTGCACCACACCACAGGCCTTTTCAGATTTTCCTTTTTTAAATTTGGAACTATTTTCATATTTATAATGAAATACTTTAGGGGCAGAGCCCATGTACAAATATAAAGTTCAATTATATTATAATTATATAGAGAGACTACATGTAATTTGGGAAAGTATTTTCAACAACTGTGTGGAGGAATCTGTTGTATTAGAGAATTTTTCACTTGTAACACAGAGTGCTCAGAAGTTTTGAATTTTAACATGCCATGGCTCAAGGATGATCAATTGATGCTTTAGTCTTAAGCATATACATAACCAACTTGGAATGAACTTGCAGAACTTTGTGCAAAATACTAACAAAATGTAGTATATGGGTGATGTAGAGCAACATGCTTAATATACAGCATTGCTAATTCCAATAAGCCTCACTTACATTATCTCAATATACGTATGCATGTATGTATGTGACCATATATATATATATATATATATATATATATATATATATATATATATATATATATATAAAACCACAGGAAGACACTGCTATAGTCTATTGTATTAGCAGATGCAGACACACATTCCTATGCATATACTTACATACTAATAGGACTTTTAAGATGTCCTAATGTAAAATGTGTTGGCTCTCACTGTTGGCTTTCAGTCCTTCCTAAAGTGATGCATTCAATCATTTACTGAGAATTTACATGCTAGTGTGGCTTTCTTCTTTCTTTTCTGATCCCAATTAAAAACTAGAAAAGATAATCTATGACTCTTTAACAAGTGATCAAGGGTACAGTTATAACCTGATGAAGCTGCACACACACAAATCTCCATTATGTACCTTTAAATTACATACTGTAATATGGATTCACTGGATTACAAAATCTGCAAAGCATGTCTGAGGACAGAGAACCTGCAGGCTCATGGATTTTACACATGACACAGGCAGCAGGAAGGCCTTCAGAGATCCACACTTCCTAGTAGAGCCCACCAATTCCAGGTCACTGTCATGTTGAGTGTTAAGTAAGCAGCAAGGATAGTACATCACTAGACAGATACAAAATACTCAGAAAGAGCTACTGTTTGAAAATTTCTCTAATGTCTCAACAATAAAAATTCATTGTTTAGTAAGTGACTGATCTGAGGTAACAGATATCATGTCAGGGGAGGAGAAGGGCAAGCCCAGTAAGGCCATTCACACTTTTTTACAGAATTATATTTATTACCTTTCCTAAAGCCTTATTTAATCTATAGGCATAAATAATATCAGTAGTAAAATATACCAGCAACACAATGATAATTAAAGACATGGGATATAATTTAGGCTCAATAATCAAACTTTCTTAAGCAAATTACTAATTTTTATGAACTCAGTTTCACTGATCAAGCACCCAGCATGGCTGTTGGAACTGCAAATGTCATGTGAGCAGCCATTCAGTCAACTTCTCCCTGTGTCCTATGAAGGATTGACCTCTGCAAACTTGGAAACAGTGAGAGGGGGCACACATGAGCAAAGTTGGAGTGTGAGAAAGCTCAATTGTGGAGGATCAAGGGTACCAGAGGTCTAGAGGACCCTAGCTAACTAAATGTCAAAGGAGCTATTCTCAGCAAGAAACAGAGGAAGGGAAGAAGAAAGGGTTCTAATAACTACACAACAATTAAGAGCACACAAATGAAACACACATTATTCCTGTCAGACTGTACCCAAGTGAACGTGCACAAACAAAACAAGCTAGCACCTGAACAAATAAATGATATTTGGCTATCTTCCCTATTCAAGATAATTAAAATCTCATGAAACTTCAATGAATATAGTAACTTATTTGCCCAAATGGTTTCCCTTTTTGGAAATGAACAATGATAGATGCTAAATTCCCCACATCACCTATGGCCAAGGATGTGATTCGGTGGGAGATAAAGCCCTGGGTTCAGTCTTCAGCACTAAGAGAGTCACTAGCAACAGTTGAGTGTGGGTGCCTGGGTTAATAGTTGAAGATAAACCAACAGCCTCTTGATCTCTTGAATTTCAGAGTGATAAAAGCTTGCTAACACAGACTGGTTGAGGAATGATACTCTTCATAACATTTACTCCACAGTCCCTGCAGCCTAGGATTCCATGTGTGGCAACTCTACCCTGAAAACAAACTCAGAAGAGGCTGTGTGTTTAAGGCTGTCTTCCCAACAGAGGTGCCACAGGATGGATCTCCACACAGTGCTGTCAAGCCACAGTCATTCTGCATTTATGTCAGAAAATCTTCAGGACCAGTTAAAACTCAGTTACGATATTTATTTTTACTTTTGTCAAGTCTACAGTATGTTCATTATCAACAGTAACTAATTAATCTGCAGCCTCTGAAATTTTTAAAAAAATTTAGATTATTTTAGGTGCACAAGTGTTTATCTTGCATGTATGTATGTGTACCATGTGCATGCCTGGGGCATGCAGAGGTCAGAAGAGGGTTTTGAACCTTCCAGAATGAGAATTATGGATGGTAGGAAACTACCAAGTGGGCACAGGGCACCAAACTCAGGTTTCCTGCAAGAACAAGTGCTCTTAACCCATGAGTCCATCTCTCCAGCCCAAAGCAATCATTTTTTTTTTTTTTTAACACAACAGCCTAACTATACAGAAAACAATGCTTTTGTTGTTTCTGTTTGCAAAGACCTGTAAAATCTCCCTAATCCTAAGCACTTAGTGTAGAATGTGAAGCCTTTGAAAACCTGTGCTGCAGTTTGTCAAAGTCTACCTCATCTGTATTGTTTTTCTTTTGATGCTTTTTGGAAAGATCCATGCTCTGTAGGCCAGACAGGCCTAGAAGTTCCCATGCTAGCCTTGAACTCAGAGCAATCTTCCTGCCTTGGCCTTCCAAATGTTGAGGTTACAGACATAAGTGACCATACCCAGCTTATATTCTTAACCAGATTAAAGACATGCCTTATTTTTGATTCCTTTTCCTGGTTCCTTAAGAAATAAAATACATGTATTTCAACTTTTATTTTGAAAGATTAAAAATTTATCTTATTGAATGTGTGTGTGTGTGTGTGTGTGTGTGTGTGTGTGTGTGTGTGTGTGTGTGTGTTCGCGCATGCGTGCAGGAGTAACTATGCCATGATACTTGTGGTCAGAGGACAACTTTGGAGAGTAGGTTCTTTCCTTCCACTGTGTCCCAGGGATGGGAACTCATGTCCTCTGGCTTGGCAGCAAACATCCTTTACCCAGAACCACCTCCAAATCCTCATTTCAAAACAGAATACCCTTAAGGTTTAGGCCTAATTTATCTAGTCATCCAACATACTGAGCCCACACCATGTGCTAAAGTAAGATCCTAGTTCAGGACACAGCACAGAAAACACATGTCTGCTACCCTCAAAGAAAACCAGGTCTGCTACAAAGTCTTGATGACCTTAGTTGAAAGTAGGCTTTTGTCTTTGTGTTAAACTCGAAGCGCACATGCTTACTTGGCAACTGATGAGGTATGGAGTGCATGTGGGTGTTGCCTCTACTGCTAAAATTTGAACTTCAGACTTTTAGGGGGATGGTATCTATATTTCTTATGAAAATTACTTCTGACCCAACAGTTGCTTAAATGATTGCACTGATTGAAAGGAAAAATGAAGAGTGCATGTATTATACATCATGGTAAATTTATCTTATCACTCAGAAAAAAAATATTTACAATGAAAGATTAAGGATTGGAGTAAATGAACTTCAGTCAGTTAGAAATTGCCTGCTAAAGCCATAAATACAGAAAGCCCTTTGAGAAATCAAGAGACTAGAAAAGCCTCAACATGCAACGAAAGGGCTGATGTAGAGAAGACAAAATTTTTGATATAAAACCACAATTTCAAGTTTTAGTTTAATTTCTAAAAAAGGGAGGGAGAAACCATTGTTCTTATTGGTAAGTTTTCAAAATATGGGCTAATATTTAAACACAATCTTAAAAACATAGATGTTTTAGGGGAATTCAGAATAGACAAAGTAACTAACCTCATTAATTCCTCCACTTTATCATCTACATCTAGGTCCTCTTCTGAGGCTTCAAAGCTATATGACCTCTGACCCATGCTGTTCACATGGTAGCGAGATGGTGACATCTTTCCATTGGATGTGGACAATCGATCGTTGTTCTCCCTCCCATTTTGATTGGTAGTGCAAGGCTGTGGGGAGGTATCATAACTGTTGCTGGGTGATGGGGACATTCCGGAGTGCTGGGTCTGTGTGGAAGCTGTGGCTGTAGAGGAAGATGCTGGAACATTGTTGGTACTGTTCCCATATGAGCTTCCCCCGTAGGTGGACCTCCTTCCAAACTTATCACTATGCTCTTGATCAAGGCGGTCCAAAGTTTCTAATGCATGCAGAATTTCATGTTTGGTCATCCCAGTACGCCGAAGACGTTGGAGCAGATCTATCTGTTCTATGGTAAATCTGGGTTCATCTGTATAGTGAGACATGGTTTCCAGCAAACTGGAGGGGGAGAGGGGGAAGAAAAGGATAAAAATGAAGTGCCTTTATTGTTAACTAACAAAAACATTTCACCACAAAGAATCCCCAGCAGAAGAGGCTTGATCTCAGCACCAGCAGGACAGGGAGATGGCGCAGTCAAACGACACGTTTGTTGTGTAAGTAGGGTTACCAGGTTCAACCCCCTGCACCAATGCAAAAATTCAGAGCAGCAGCACATGACAGGAGTTCTACACTGGAGAGGTAGACAGGAGATCTTTGGGGTTTGCTGACCAGCCAGTCAAGATGATCAGTGAGCTGTGGTTTCAGTGAGAGGCCCTGTCTCAAAAAATCATGTGGAGAGCAACTGATAAAGACATCCGATGTCCACTTCTGGCCTCCACATGCATTCATACACATATTAGTAAAACACACAAACCAACAATAATAACAAAAGAAAAAGATATGAGTCCTACCAGAATTTTTTTTTTTTGTTGTGACTTGGATTGGTATAGATTCTGAGTGTGTCAGTTATAAGATAAAACTAAACTTATAATGGAATAAAGTTTACATTTTTCAGTCTTGGTAATCAACCAAATTTGGAAGCAAAATGTTAATTATGTCAAGATATCAATTCATAACCTAAAAAAGCATATAATGCATTAGGCTCAAACTACATGATAATGTCCATTTTTTTCAATTCTGAAATATATTGTTGTGTACTAGCATATTAATGGGTAATTGCTGGAAAAAATTATATTGCTTTTCCAAATAACTGACACAGAACTCTTAGGTCATTTAGTGAAAAATGTTTCTCTTGGCTGAATCTAAGTGAATACTAGTAACTAGTACAGGTGTCCTCGAACTCTGCCTGACTCTGCCTCCTGAGTGCTGGGACTAAAGGTGTTCGCCATCACTGCCCAGTTTTAGTATAAATACATAAGTGGAAGATAAGAGCAGTACACACAATACACCAAGCTCTGCTTCTACTTCTTAGCAGTCTTGAGAGCCTCTCAGTTCTGAGGCGTGCTCTCTGAATGGATTCCTCATGTGTATAGCCAAGTGGAGCTATTCCTACCTTGAAAACTGGTTCTATATGCTTCCACCTTAACAAGACACAATAGCACACCAGAAAATGTTTTCTTAGAAACTTAGTATTTTGTTTAAGATATTAGCCACATCCCAAAAATGCTCTCTCCTTGAATTACATTTTTAATAATAGCTGACTTTAAAAGAGATTTACGTATTTGTCTTTATTGTTTTGTATTGGGTGTTAGTCTACATGTACCTATAAGCACCTCATGCTCATAGTGCAGAAGCAGCCAGAAGAGGGCAATGGATGCCCTGGAACTGAATTACAAACAGCTTTGCAAGTTGTCATGTGGGGCCTGAAAACACAACCTGGGTCTTCTGCAGACACATCAAGTACTCTCAACGGCTGTGCCATCTCTCTGGCCCCTAAAATCTGACTTTTGAATCCAGGACTTCTGAAAGTGATAACCATCTCTATGTTAACTTGTATTTTCTAGTGAAAGATAAATATAGCATGGACCAGTCTTCATATAGCATAAATTCTAACAGGTCTTAATAATGAAAGCCCACAGCCATAAGAGATATCAGGGCAAATGCTGAAAGATCAGAGAGAGAAAAGAGCAAGCCACAGCCAACTCTTAACTCCTCATCTAAAGAGACCAAGTACCTGTCTCCTCCCACCTTAAACTCTTCTCTCCGCCCAACCATATCACTTCCTGTCTGTCTGTACAGACCTCCAAACTTCTATGGTTAACTAGTGGCTAGCTCCACCCTCTGATCTGAAGGCAAGCTTTATTTGTTAGAGTATAAACAAGATATCACATTCTCAAATAAACAATTGCTAAGAGAAACAGAGGTCAAGAAATTTCCTTCTCCATTAAAGAAAAATGTGCTCTAGGCCAGTCCCCTAAACCTGTTGGAGAGCTTACTATTCTTCACCCCTGTGTACTGTACACAGTATACAGTAGAAAAACCCAATTGAACAGTCACTTTAAGAAATTGGGCAAGAATTTCATATAATATAACCTCACCTAATTCTCATAGCATGTCTTCATAGTAGGAATGACTTATTTGTTTTATTTTAATGTTATGAACTGTTAAGGACACCAAGGTTAGGATACTTTTGTACCTTTTAGAAAGTCCAAGGACACCCTGGTGGCACAAAGATAACAACTTTCAGAGCCCATCTGGTCAACAGACCAAGTGCAAAACCAGCTTGTAATTTAGTGATACCTGTCACAAAATAAAACTCAAGTACTCTTTAAGAATAGTTCATATTCTTGTTTGTTTGTGTTTTGGTTTGGTTTTTTAAGACAGGGTTTCTCTGTACCTTTGGTTTGGAGCCTATCTTGGACTAACTCTGTAGACCAGGCTGGTCTTGAACTCAGAGATCCTCAGCCTCCCAAGTGCTAGGATTAAAGGTGTACACCACCACCACCTGGGTCTTTTTTTCTGTTTGTTTGTTTGTTTACTAAGCTACCTCTCTGACTCCATTTTTTTTTTTTTAAATAGTTGCCAAACCCCTGGATTTACTGGCTTCGCAAATCCCAATTTTCCCTCATAATTACATTTTTATCTTCATAGTTACTTTCCCTTGAAAATAAAAGGCCTGTTTTGGTATCTTCAGTCCTCATCCAATCAAAGTATTTCACAAACTGTTCCTCCCTTAGATGCCTAACTTTAAGAACTATTTTATCTATGTGCAGCAAAGTTAACCATATTTCTTATCCTGTTCACTCAGCACAGATCATAAGTAATGTGCTGTCCTTCAAGTCTTCCTCTATATGAGACAACACTGGCTATTAGCATAAAATTTCAGAGTAACTGAAATATTTTACACCATTTAGGACCTACTAACAATACAAAACCACTTTTATTCCAGTATCAAAAAAGGGGGGAAAGGATCCCCCTATTACTTTGACTGCCCAGAACACTTAATCTTGGGTCATCTCTTCATAGAAATCAACTTCAGGTGAACAGGCTGCCACAGGAATCGAAATTTGGCTCTCTTCAAAATGTTCTACTTAGACTATGGTAAGATGGACAATAAGTTTAACTGTGTTAAACCATAGGAAGTCTTTTGTGCAGCAGGAGTTACAGGGAGAATAAACCAGATAACAAAAACAAAAACAAACAAACAAAAAACCAAACCCCCCCCCAAAAAAAAAAAAAAAAAAAAAAAAAAAAAAGAGGACATGGGAAATCCCTGCACCTTTTGTTGTCTCTGTAATTCTAAAGGCCCGTAAGCCCTGCTCTCCTGCTCTTCTTTAGTTTCGTGGAACAAACAACTTCCCTTTACTTCATTGTGTTTAAATGGATGTATGTCTGTAATTTGCAACAAGAGCAGCCCCTGTTGCCTTGGAGGAAAAGGATACTGGCTTCTTGAGTAGGATCACACTGTGCACACGACACTGAAAATACGGTACGTTACCAAGAAAACACAAACACACAAATGATTAGAAGCCCTCACGGATATTGAGAATACTATGCCGTGCATCAATACACAGGATGGGATGTATTATGCCATTTTCCATTTGTACTTCTCATAATTTACCGAGAGTAAGCATAGCTTCATAAAATAACAGCAGAAAATTACCTATAAAGGTCATCTAGGACCATAATGCCAGCAATCCTTATAAGACAAAAGAAGATGACATGGAGGGGCTAAATTATTTTTCTCATGTACAAAGATCACTCACAGGATAAGGGGCAGTTTTGCTTTAAATTACTGATTTGAATGCAGGCTCCAGCTAACAGTAATTGAAAATAATATAACAATTTTGACACTTAAATAATATAGACAAAGATTAGAATAGAAAAGAACAAGTTAGTTCAGGACTTATGGCTCAATTCCTAAACTAATACTGTAAGACCACAGTACATCTTGAGTTATTAACCATATTTTGCAATAACACCTAAAATTTTCTAGATAAGCCACAAGGCCTGGGACATATATACCACGATAAATAACATTCCAAAGACAGAAAGCAGAAGAGTCTAGCTAAAACATTCAGAAATGATGAACTAGCACTGATATCAAAGGGCCAAAAACTACATGAACTGTAAAGCATCAACAGTTAAGTTTTTCTGGCAGACAAATTTTCTACCAGATTATTTCTGCTGTTTTATCTTGTCCTGAATGAGTAGGCAGAACCATGTTACCTTGTGTGGTCACTGTAGGAGGAATCAAACATTCCAGGCTTGCTCTGTCTCTGTATGTATGTATGTATGTATGTATGTATGTATGTATGTATGTATGTATAATCATCCATTCTTGGTTATTACTACCATTGAAGAAGTGGCTTCAAAATAAGAAAATGCCATGTAAGAGTAAGTAAGAAATAATGTTTTACAGGGAATTGAGCTATAGAGTTAAGTAATTCTATAATTCAAATTATTAGGTAAACTGACTAAAGCCTAAGGATAGTCTATGACTACAGACCCTTTAATAACAAATAGGATAAATAATAAAATAGGAAATAAATAAATCATAAAAGGATGTTGTGAAAAAATGTGATTATATTCCAATATCTCAATCTCACTTCAGTATTTTTTTAAATTAACACTGATTGAGTTCCATTTTGTGCAGTTTGGAGGAAAATCTGTTATGCAGCTTTAAAATGATTTCAAACACTCCACAAATGACAAATACATCTATAAGATACAGCAGAGCTGCTGTTCATCATCTCCTTTTACACTTGAACTTTACCTTCTTTGTGGAATGCTACATTAAACCTCCCCAGGTCCTCTAGTAAGTTGTTGACAAGAACTACTAGCCTTCAAAAACTTTGTTTGACAGACATTTTAAAGGCTTTGCAGCTTCACCTGCCAGTATCAGCAGTGCCCTCTGGCATCAAGTGCTAAAAAAGGAAGAAAAGGGGCTGGAGAGATGGCTTAGTGGTTAAGAGCACTCACTGCTCTTCCAGAGGACCTGAGTCCAATTCCCAGCAACTATATGGCAGCTAACAACTGTCTGTAACTCCAACATCTGACACTCATGTCAGACATACATATAAGCATTTTAAAATGCCAATGCAAATAAAGTAAATTTAAAAAGAAAAAAAAGCCAGAAAAACACTTGTTTTCATTTGACAATACATTCTTTAATATTTTGCTATTTTAATTGAATGAATAACTTTAAAAATAGTGACAATAATATATATACAATGCCCTGACTACTACGTTAATGTCTCAGAATATAGCATCCCACCACACTCCTGTCTATCCTGTGGCTCCCACGGTTCTACTTCCTCTCTTCAATGTCAGGGCCTTGGAAGGCTTTGGAGGGGAATGACACAGATGTTATGTTTGGGGCTAAGCCTTCAGCAATCAATCAAGGTGATCTCTGTCTGTATGTCCTTTGTGACTTCACAGACCTCTACTATGATGATCAAATGACATTATCACTCCTGCGAAGGTACAGCTGGTATCTTACTTCCCACTACACTAACTGAACAACTCAGCTTCAATAATTTAGGAACTCACTGTGCAGTGCGCTGCAACTGTACATTAAGGACAGTCCTCTGAAGTTTGTTTGTTTTACCCACTCCTCAAGAACTATAAACCTTTCCAAGTGTAGTGACACAAGAAGCTGAGGCAGGGGGATTAGGAATTCAGGTTTTTCCTTAGCCAAGTAGCAAGTCTGAATGCTGTCTGGGCTCTACAAGACCCATCTCAAAAAACCAAAAGGAACTGTGAGCCTAAGTGGAGGGGGTTTCTTTGTGTGGCAATGAACTGTGTGATTTGCGAAACTGTGTTTTGACTACCACTTTATTTTTACTATATACAAGAAAGACCTAATTAAAAGCACTCATGTTTATAGACAGAGATAAAAGTTTGGTGTCAAAGAGCCAGGTGCGGTGGTACACACCTACAATCCCAGCACTCAGGAGGATAAGGAAAAATGTTTGTGAGGTACAGAGCAAGTTCCAGGCTATTCTAGACATAGTGAGACTCCAGTCTTGAAAAACAAGGATGGGGAAGAAAAAGAAACAGAAAAAGACAAAGAAAGCAGCAGGCAGGCAAACAAGCAAACAAAAGGGTGGGTGGGGAGGGCAAAGGCCCAAAGATAAAGTGCCTTTCCTAGGGCAGAGCTGCTCAGCAGAAACTCAGGCGGGCAACAGTCCTATCATCTAGATCTCCTCCAGAGACTGCACTAAATCACAGAGTGTGCTCTGGGGGCGGGGTGGGGGTTCCAAAGGAAAACCTAAATAATAAAGAAAACCAATCTTAATGTCTACCTATTAGATTACAGAACTGTCAACCAAAACAGAAGGAATTTAAGTGAAACAGACTCCACCAAATTTTAGAAATTACTTAGGCTCAAGGCACTCTGCACTAGACGCTAAAGATGCACTTAATGAGCTAATAGGCCCTTTATCTTCTCTAATTTCTGAAATTCCCGGAATACTTTCATTCCGAGGCCTATTTTGTATGAACTGGTGGTTACAGTTCATATTCCAGCACAAAAACATTCTTGACACAACATCACCATCTCCATTTGCCTTGACTCCAAAGAACAGCTAGCAACTACATTAGCTAATAGGCAGAACTATGTTACCATCTGCGGTGGGGAAAGAGAAATGGCTATAGTGTCCTTAGGAGTTTGCATTCAAATCAAGCATTAAGAGAACACAATTTTCTGTATTCTGCTTTTCCTAAGAATGCAACTGGAGCTCTCACTAACTCTTAACCACCTATCTTACCAGCTTCTAAGCTTTAAACAGTTAAAAATAAGGAATATGGGGCTGGAGAGGAGGCTCAGCAGCTAAAAGCACTTCCTGTTCTTATAAAGACCTGAGCTAGGTCCCTAGCACTCACGTGGTACAGCTAACAACCACCCAGAACTCCAGTTCTGGAGGCCTCTGGCCTCCTTGGATACTTGCACTCATGCATACCAAGATGTGCACATAATTAAAGTAAATGACTTTTAAGGAAATAATAAATACAAAAAAAACTTTTGTTTAAATTAAAAAAAGGGTTAAAATACAATGTTGAAAGTAAAAATGGTAAAAAAAAAAAAAAAAATACACCACTTGAATAATTTCCTAAAAATGTCTTTGATCTTGGGCTGGCAAGGTAGGTCAGAGGGTAAAAGTGCATTTGATCCCACATGGAAGGAGGGTACCACCTTCCATCACCCTGTCCTAACCATGCACAAGCCAAAGGAACTGAACACCACCCCCACACATAAAGAAATAAAAGCCTTTTAGATGAATTCTTTGAATTTAAAAGCATTTGTTATCAAATCTGAGTCACAGTCCTGACAGTCTCACATTACTAAATTGACCAATAGAGTTGAGAAGATACTTACACCACTGGAAAGGAACTGAGCATACTTTACATGAGGCGGATCAGTGGCCTTTCCAGAGACGGCCAGCCGTATTTACCATTCTGTAGAATAAAGACAGAAAATTGAGAAGCAGTTATGTAACTCAGCATTGAATAAAAAGTTTCAGTATGAGACTTTAGGATATTAAGAGTTAATATTAACTAATCTTTTTTCCCAAAATTATTTTGTAATTTTGAAATGAAATACCAAATTGGAGCAACACTTAAAAAAGGAAGAAAACACAGAACACAGAAAATGATATTAATAGGTTTCCACATGATTGGGGGGCGCAATAAAAAGAAATCACCAAATTTAACTTGCTACCAGGAACCACCCACAAAAGTGGATCTAAACTGTAATGAGGTGCACACACTGCAATGGTATTCAACAAAACCTTGACTGGAGAGTAAGCCTTGACCCTCATCCAGGCCAGGCCAGCAGTCTCCACTGACCTTGCCCCACCCCCACCCCAGCTTTCAGCTTTTCCACAATACCAGGCACTTAAGAAGACTCTTATAACAAAGCAAGCTTCAGCATAGCTTAGCTACACAGGTGGGTTCTGGGATATACTACTAAGTCTAATGCTTATCCTGCTGCTAGGTGGACTCAGTTTCTCTGAGTCTCAACTATCTCAAAAAGGGGGGGTAACATATCTGCTTCAGAGAGCTACTCAAGAATGTTTTTAGTTTTTAAGTAGGGCTGTTGAAGCACTTCACAAACTAGCACTGGTAGTCGCTATTACTATCAACCTTTCAACCAATTTTTCTGACTCAGATGATTAACTCAGTCAAATGAGTGACAGAGTAAGGCTGGCACATCAGTATTCTAACTTGTACTGTTCTGTTAGCTACCGAGACACTTCCACCTTCTTCAATTCCAACCACACACACAAACCACACACATACACACCACAAAATAGAATAGGCAGGTTGTGGTGGCAAAAGTCAGTAGGGTATGTTGGAAGCTAAGGCAGGAGTATGATGAGTCAGAAACTAGCCGAGGCTATACCTTAGGCCAGCAAAATGGTCAACTGGTGAAGACATTTGCTATGTCAGCTTGGTGAGCTGAGTTCAATGCTCCTAACCCACATAAAAGTAAAAGAGAACCAACACCATGACCTTCAGGAATGCACTGTGACAGATACATGAGACTTCCACCCTCCCTTCACTATGCACAGTAATCAATAAACAAATAATAAAAACAAAACCAAACAAACAAACCAAAAAAAAACAAAAAAAAAAAAAAAACACCAAAGCCAGAATGATGATGATACAGGCCACTAATCTTAGCACTTTTAGCACTTTGGAAATAGAGACAGAGGATCAACTCAAATTCAAGGCCAGCCTGGTTTACCCAGTGAGTTTGGCCAGGTCAGTAAAGAGCTGCAGAGTCCCGTCTCAATAAAACAGAGAATGAAGCTGGAGAGGCACCTAAAAGCTTGCCACACAAGCATGAAGAACAGCATGATTCCCAATACAACAAAAAACTAATAAGTTGATTAAAAGCAAAACAACAAAAACAATTTATCACAAAAAAAAAAAAAAATCATTAGTTAAAACAGGCCAGGTACAGAGGTGCTTTGGAGAACTGGAGATGGAGGATCTCTGGGGCCTGCTGGCCTGCCAGACTAGCTAAGCAGTAAGCTTCAGTTCAGTAAGAGACCTTGTCTTTACAAAATAAGGGGGACAGCAAATGAGGAAGACACTTGATATTCGCCTCTGGCCTCCAAACCTGCCCATATACAAACAAACATACAGACACAGAAATGAAGGGAAAAAATTATGGAAATTTGCAAACATGTTGCAAACACAGACAGAACCTGGAACTAACTTATTTAATGTACCCAACACACAGCTTGGGCAATTATCAAGTCCTACCCTGGGCTTAAGGTTGTTTCCATAAAGAGTCTGAGCCTCATCACTGTCATGAACAATTCTCAACAACTTTCAATATCTGCTTTCCAAATCCAGAATAGATTAACCACAAAAACTTTAAAGTAGTTGTGTATAAAAAGATTTAATCACAGAATTAAAAACAAAGGCCAATTACCTGAAGAAAGAAAATAGAACTACTTATTTACGGATACACAGAACAAAGCTGATCCTCAAAATTGTTATTGTTTATGATCTGTGTTTAAAAAGGAAGAGGACTATGACATACATGTACTTCCAGGGTTATTTAGGCAGGGCTGAGGCTGGGGCTCCAACATGCTAGAGCCCAATCCATCACTGCACATACCCAAACTGAAGTAATTTTTTGTCATAAAGACAAAACAATTAAAAGTTTATGCTTTAGGACATTAATCAGAGGTGTTTCACTCATGTCAAACATTTTTCCTTTGAAGAGTTCCAGATAAACACTGCCTTCTATATTTAGCATCTATCTGAGAGGCAGATGGTAAATGTGGGGTGGAGAATGGTTGGTGACATGTGAGAAGACAGATTCACACATAGAGAAATTTAAAAAACATCATGGTTAGAGTATTAGGGATTGGGGGTTGGGGATTCAGTTCAGTGGGAATGCTTGCTTAGTAAGTGCAAGGTCTTGGGTTTGGTCCTCAGCTCAAAAGGGTTAAAAAAGAAGAAGAGGAAGAGGAAGAAGAGAAGATTAGGGATATCCAGAGTGGCTCATGTAATCCATCCTAGCACCTGGGAAGACCAGCCTGGGTCAAAGTGAGTTCAAGACTAGCTGGAGACCCTGTGTGCCCTCCTACTACCACCATCACCAAAATGATATAAAATACTAATTCTCATTTCTCAAATAATTCCTCTAGGTAGTTTCAGACTATAAATTTAATGACTATTTTCTCAGCCAGATTCACTGGGCAAAGGCTTTATGTGAACCAATTTATTGAAGTTCACATCACCTGAGGAACATTAAGACACTAACTGTCCAAGGTCAATCAGCTTTTCTTACAGAATTACAGGCTTCATCTTCAAACTGTAGGGTTAATGATGCCATGATTATTTCTGTATTGTTTCTCTGGAGCAAATATTTCACTGTGATAGGTGCTGTGAGATGCACTGGGCATGTTCAGCATTACAGAGACGTGTCACTTACCATGGAGATTTTTATTCTGGAAGAATTATTACACACACTACCTGTAAAAATCTCATAACCTTGCAGATACCCCCTACTGCTTCTACATTTCCAGTGCTAAGAAAACTTCATGCAGAGTTTTACTGATAAAGATCTTGCTTTTCTAGATTCCAAGGTTATGTCTTGTCACTTCAACTCACCTGGCTTGACAGATACATACTAAATTTCTGCCGCCCCCACCCCCAACACACATACAACTGTTAAAATATCGACATGACATTTGCAGCTTCCAGGGTAGATATTCTCATGGCCTTCTATTTATCCTTGCAGGACCTACTTTTAGTATGGTGGTAGGACTTCTCTAAGGAGCAAGGCTCCCTGGACCCATCACAAGGCTTCCATACAGCAAAGAGGGCATCGTCGGAGGCCATGAGAGAGGAACAGCAAACAGCTTTGGAACTCATGGAATATGACCTGACTGTCAGCATAACCACTGGGTGAGCTTTGGACAGGCAGAGCCCCAAGGTCTATATGATATGAGGATCTCACACTGTTATTGAACATAGCTCTGCTTATTGCCCTCAAAGTCACCATGTCCCTCATGAATTGTATAAAACTCTCAGGAGGTTTCTAGTCCCTCACTGGGCAGTGTTATCAGTACTCAAAATAATAGAGATTGACTTTTTCCAAGCATTGCTGCTGAAGATTAATGATTCAACCACCACCCTCAGAAAGAATTTAGACATGTAGATTGTTAGTTAGGTTAAGATGTTTGTGCTGATGGCTTTGATGTAGAAAATCTTGGGGCACAATTTAAAGTTAAGAAAGACACACTTTTAATATTTGAGCGAGGGACTCGTTAAGGTCAAGGAACAAGAACAAAGGTAACCCAGTTATTAATAGCTGATGTGCCTTTCTTGTTAAAGATGGGTTGGCGATCAAGGGCAATGATTAATTCCTTCTACCCATTTCTGCCCCCAGCTTCCTGATATAAAAAATAAAAAAAAAAAAAAAAAAACTTTTGATGTAAAGTTGAAATGACCAATTGTTTTTTATATATAAAAGGTTAGATTTGTGATTCTTTTAAGATTTTTTTTAAAAAGACTGTCTTTTGAGATAAATAATAATTTTAAAAAACAAAAAATAAAGTAATTGACCCTGTCTTTGTAACCACAAAATACAGCCTGCCAGCAAAAGAACTGGCTGAGAAAAATACCTTGTTTGCTTATACTCTGTCACTCTATACCAACTTGCTTAAACATGAATGTATATGGGTCTTAGTGAATAATTTATCACCTGTACTATGTAAAATGATTAATCATGTAAGGGAAATGAGAAACATGCTATTTTTATATTTGTATTCATTGTAATCATTCACTTGAAGAAAAATAGACTATATCCACATTGTAATTTTTATATTGTTTGAAAATTTTTGCTGGGGTATATAAACTGTAGGGGAAAAATAAGAAAGGAAGAAGGAAAGATACAGAAGGAGAAAGGCTGGGAAGAAGAATGGAAACATTTGGGTAGAAGAACAGAGAACAGTGCAGAAAAGCAACAGAAAGAAAAATAAAATGAAGAACTAAGCTTTGACCCTCAGAAAAGGCACTTGTATGTATATGCAGTTGTATGTAGAAGAAAAACATCAGGAAAGAGGTAAGGGAAAAAATAAGAGAGATCTGACATGCTGGAGAAGGGGGGTGTGTGTGTGTGTGTGTGTGTGTGTGTGTGTGTGTGTGTGTGATAAGAGAGATCTGACATGCTGGAGAAGGGGTGTGTGTGTGTGTGTGTGTGTGTGTGTGTGATAAGAGAGATCTGACATGCTGGAGAAGGGGTGTGTGTGTGTGTGTGTGTGTGTGTGTGTGTGTGTGTGTGTGTTCCTTTTTACCGGCCCCAGAGAATTAAGTTCTGCTCCCTCAGAGGAAAAAAGTCAATCGTGTGACTAGCTGCTGACTCTGCACCTCCTCTTCAGTTCCTGACCTGCTGAGAGCTGGTTATAGTTAGCAGCATCATTGAACTGGAT